ACGCGCCTAGTAAGGACGCGCGCCTTCATCTAGGGTGCCCTTGTGTCCTTGCACCTGCGGTCTGTCCTCTGCCGTTATCACTGGTCGTCCTCCGCCCCAAGAGTCCCCGCTTCGACCTCCAAGGGTCTTGCGTCCTTACCACCCACCTTTAATACGCCATTTGACTGTCGTGTTACATCGTCTTGCGTATCAGTGCATACTTAATGGCGTGGAACGGAACTAAATAGCACGATATGACATTTCCGAAGACCATTGCAGATCGTAGCATGGCAACGCAGGGCATTCATTCGTACGATAGCGGCACGTAACATAACATTGGTTCGCATACCATGGTTGCATGAACGGTGCAGCTGGAAAACCATGCTGGAGGGCCGACGAATTTAAGATGAAGCCGGCATTGCAGCGGGGGCCACATCTGTAATGACCGAACACGCGGATTCTGAAACGAGCTTTGCAGTGGGGGCAGGAGTCCAAAGGACCTGCGACGAGGAAGTTCTGGCCGCGTTGCAGCGGGAGTACAATTTGCACGTACTGAAAACGATCGGATTTGGAAAATCTTCCGTGTGTGGTAACAATACGCGGAGAGGGCGGGACATGTTTTGAACACAGTCAGGACAGAGTGGAGAGTCGTTTTCATGATGTGTAATTGTGGAGGCGGGGTGGAGGGGAAGGGAAGGGGGGAAGGATGAGGTGTTCTAGGGTCGGCGTTTGAGGTTCGTGTGCGTTCGTTGCCCATGTGGACCTCGGGGGGCGTTCTCGTCGCCTCGGTTGGATTCCCCATGAAGCTCTGGTCACAACGCACCCTTAGAGATGTATGTGTTTCTCGCCCTTGGAGAAAGAGGAGGAGACTGCTGCGGGGGGGCATGTCGCCAGTTCCTCGGGGGAGGAAGAGGAAGAGGAGGGATGAACGTGGAGGAGGAAGAGGAGGAGGAGGAGGAGGAGGGGGGGAGGGAGCGAAGAAGGCGGAACGTGGAAGGGGGATGATGAGGGAAAAGCAAGGAATATTATCACGATTCTTGAGCGCTTTCCTGTGCAGCCCGCGGAGGTCTCGGGGGGCACCTGGCACACCACGCGTCGCGCGACCCCAACAACGGCGTTGGCATGCGCCGCCCTGGACATTCTGAGCACACGGCCTGAAGCTCCGCTTATTGCCCCCGCAAAAACGTGGGCGTGGTGTCGCCCCGCTGATCTCTCGGCACATCCGTCGCGCCGTTCTCGGCTCCATATAGAGACCCCCGCTCGCTGCCACAGCGAGGGCGCTCACGTGCGCCGCCCCTCCTCGTTTCGACGTGCCCTCCTGCGGCCCCACCGACGGCGGTAGCATGCGCCGCCACGCACAGGTGTCTGCTCACCCCGTAGCTCCACATTCGACTAGACGTAAGAGTGACCTTTCGCCGGAGTGACCTTTGGTGCGGGCACAGATGGGTCCCCAGATGGTTGAAAACGAGGCAGTAGCATCTGCTGGCGCGCCCAGGTTTGGTCCCCCCGCGACCCCCAATAAGTCGCGCACCAAAGGTCACTCCTACCCAGGGTCACTCCTGCGTGTAGCCGACACATGCGGCCGAAACCGCCGGGGCGTCCGCATGTGCCCCCCCCGCCCATTTCGGCACTCTGCTCTCGCTCGCCTCGTGGCCCCTCCTGCAGCTCGCGGCCGCCAAGGGGGCTCTGGCTGCGGGCCCGGCGAGGGCACGCACGCGTGTCCCCCCCATCCCGTTTTTGGCACCGCCCTCCTCGCTCGCCTCGTGGCTCAGACGGGGAGCTCCCCTCACAGCTCCAAGGAGGGCGTGCTCATGCGTCCCCCCGCCCAGCTCGGCGCTCCCCTCGCCCACGCCGGTCGTGGCCCCGACGGAGCGCTCCACATGCGGCCCCAGCTGGGTCGTTCACATGCGCCCCCCGTCCTCTTTCCCGGCGCGGCCCTCCCGCGGACCGTGCCTCGCAGGGGGCTCCACCCACGGCCCCGGCGAGAGGGTTCGCAGGCAGATCCACGCACAGGTTGGCGCACTCTTCACACGGCTCGGCGCACCCCTGCAGTTTGAGCAGGCAATATGCGGGCTTCGGCCTCAAGCCGGCACGCCCGTCACACCGATCGTGCCCCACAGGCAGTTCCACCTACGGCCTCAATGGGTGCCCCCTGATGTTATTTGCCCCCTGCCCGACGGATCCTTCCCCACAAGGGGGCTTCGCCGACGGTCCCAGCGAGCAGGTTCGTATGGCGTCGCCCCGCCCAGTTTTTGCGCAGGCCGTGCCCTACGGGGACCCGAACTCCACCCACCATGCAGCACGTAGTATGTGGAGAGAGGGTCACGCCTTGCGCTAGACGCAGCTGTCTGTTTGCTTGGCAAATGCCCAGTCGTATTTTGTTATGTGATCTCGGGCTCGAGAGACAGTTTATCGGTCTTGGGGCCACCAAAGAAGTAGCCAGGACGAAACAATTCTGCGTGGAAATGGGTCCAGAGTTGTGGGGGCCGACGGGTTGAACACATCACGACGTCGGAGGCCTGGGGAGGGGAGGGAGGGGAGGGAGAAGGGAAGCGGAGGAGGACGAGAGTGAGGATGGGAGGGGTCCCGCTTTCCCTCCTCACTTCTTGCTTCCTCTTCCCCCACTCCCAGGGATGTGTCCATATTGCGTTCACCGAATTGGGAGACCTCGCCGGTCGTTGGCTCTGGATACCTTCCAGCACCCCCGCAGCCGAAGAGTCCACACCCGACTCTCTTCGACATCCTCTGGCGCGCCTCCGAGACCAGTGGACGTGGGCAAATCCCCAGCGTGGGTGTTTCCTCTCCCCCTCCCTCCTCTCCCTCCCTGCCCCTCGCCCCCCAGAGTCGCGCCTCTGTCGGCAGCGCCCCGGGAGGCCATCGACCCCTCCTGCTTCTCCTCCTCCTCCACATCCTCCTCCTCCTCCTCCTCCTCCTCTTCCCTTCCTCTTCCTCTTCCTCTTCCTCTTCCTCTTCCTCTTCCTCTTCCTCTTCTTCCTCCTCCTCCTCCTCCTCCTCCCTTCCTCTTCCTCTTCCTCTTCTTCCTCCTCCTCCTCCTCCTCCTCCTCCTCCTCCTCCTCCTCCTCCTCCTCCCCCTCCTCCCCCTTCTCCCCCTCCTCCTTGCCCTCCTCCCCCCCCTCCTTCTCATCCTCCTCCTCCTCCTCCTCCTCCTCTTCCTTCCCCATGACCGGCCCGTCATCCTGCGCGGGCCACCTTCTGGCGGCGGCACCCAGGGCGTGGCAGGGGCCCGCCCCCCCCCCTTTTGGAGGCGGTGCAGCGCCCCAGATGTGGTGGTGTCCGCCCGCGGTTTGGCCACATAGCGGGGGGGGGGAAATCCTCGGACCTCGCCGCAGGGGTCCAGGCTTCTTGAGTACGGCATGTCCTTCGACAGGAGGAAGATTGAAACGTTTTTGATTATGTTTGGGACACGTTTTTTCAATATTTCGTTTCAGCTTTCCTCCAAGTTCCGCCTGCAGGAGGACATGCCCGACCGAATTCTAGGTTGAAGCGTGCTGGGGGGCAGCGAAGGCGATCTGCGTTTCTGGGGCGACGGAGGAGGGGGTCAGAGCAAGCCTCAGATCAGAGCTTCTCGCGGGTGAGCGTCGGAAGTGTTGCTGGTGACGGAGCAAGCGCGCCGGCCGAGCGTACTGGGATCTGGCCCTGGAAACAACGCAGGCCCCCCAGCGACCTCCAAGTTCAAGGCCTCCCAACTGGGGTCTGAGCAGATGGGGCCGGAGGACAGCGCCGCATCGCCGGTGCATCGCCGAATGCGGTTCGATGTGGAGCCCGATTTTCTCCACGCAGACGTCGCCGACGTATCGTCGATGCGGCGCCATCCTCTGACCCCATCTACTCGGACCCCGTAAAGTGGGGGCCCATACCAAGAAACACCCTGCTCGCCTCGCCCTTCTTGGGTCTCGATGGCTTTGCGATGGAAGGCGGGACGCTCCCACGCTAAAGATCGATGGACGTTCTGGGTTCTCAGGGTTGGGTTTCTTGTAGAAGGTTTCTTGTGTAGGAGGAGGAGGAGGAGGAGGAGCAGGAGGAGGAGGAGGAGGAGGAATGGGATGATGATGATGATGAGAAGGAGGAGGAGGACCAGGCGGAGGAGGGGGAGGAGGAGGAAGAGGATGAGGAGGAGGAGGATGTGGAGGAGGAGGAGGGGGAGGAGAGGTGGACTGGCCTCCACTGTACGGGAGGCCTCGAGTGGTGCCTCTCCACGCAGCCCGCTGTGCCTGTCCTCGTGCCCCTCTCGATCGGGTCCCAGCAGCGCCGCCGCCGTGGGCGCCAGGCCTGGCACTCGGCGTGGGTCCTTCATCAAAGCATGGCATTCCAGATATGCCATGCAAGATCTGCCATACAAGCTCTAGCTATGCCATGCAAAAACGCAGTATCACTTTACACCTAAAACAACATCTATTTCAGCGCTGTGCATTTCCACCATCAATCAGAAGAAGAAAAGCACACAGACGCAGCTCACTGTCGACTCCTAGGATAATATGGGAACATATGGGAAGTGGGGTGGGGAAAGACGAAGACCCCGAGCACGTGGGAAGCTATCGGGCATCCTGGTTTTCGTGTCCGTCTATTTGTGCGTCCCAGGGCCCCTTTCACATTGTTCCGTCCGCGCCGTGCACTGACAGCAGGCTCTCCCCTCTTCCCCCTCTTCCGTGCCCCACCCCCAGTGAGGATGGTACTCCAGACTTCGTAATAAAAGGGAGGGGGTCTGGACCCTCCAAGACAAGCCATTTCAGACCCCCCCCCGTGGGAGAACCCTCCAAAACATCGTCCCCAGACCCCCCCAGGCTCTCCAAGATAGCCTGGAAGAGACCCCCCCCCCCGAAATGAGACCCCCCTCCCTTTATTACGAAATCTGGAGTACCTTGCCCCCCTCCCTTCCGTGCCCCAGGACTGAGGAGGAGGAGGAGGAGGAGGAGGAGGAGAAGGAGGAGGAGGAGGATGGTACCTTACCCCCCTCCCTGGAGGGGCGAGCGCGGGGCGCCCCCCCCCCCCCTCGCAGCGAGGCCGAGGCCTGCGGGGCCCCGGCGGAGGCGGCCAGGCCGCGGGCCTCGACGAAGGAGCTGCCGTGCCGCAAGGAGGGGTGGCCGCTGCATCCCCCCCTCCTTGCATGACGCTGCCGCCCGTCCACGCCTCCTCCTCCTCCTCCTCCTCCTCCTCCTCCTCCTCCTCCTCTCATCCTTCTCCTCCTCTGACGTCTCTCATACATGATTCCCACATGAGAGTGCTGTTTAGCCGATTTCTTCCATGCAGGCGCCTCGGTGCCCTTGCCGCGAGGATGGGCGCCGTTGGTACCCATACCCCTACCCTCCCCTCGTTTTCCTCTTTTTCGGCCTCCTGTGCCTCCGTCGTCGCCACCGCCAGATTCGCCTCGAGATCCTGGTCGGAACGCACCCCAGGAGAGGTCCGGAGAGTAGCGGTACCGGTACCTTTTGGTGTCCCCACCTTTAGTTGATTTTATGAACGCTGCGGGCGTTCCGTTCGTTTTCATTTTGGGGGGGGCTTCGGCCAACCGAAACGGAACATCCAAACAATTGCAGCTGAAGACAGAAAACCGAGCGGCAGTACAAAACGGAACCGAAAAAACGGCGCGAACGAGAATACCAAAACGGAGTCCTAACGACCTTTGTAATTAAACACATGCCGATTCTGAAAACGAAAGCAAAGCCCCCAGCGTTTTCAATACAATCTAAGCCCCGCTCCCCTCAATACGATCGACAGGTGTAAAGAAAGAACGGGGAGGGACCGCCAGCAGTTCTTGCTTGTCCAATTGGAACCGGGCTTGTTGCCGGTGTCGCCGCGGATGGTCTCTGCTTTGGGCGAAGGGTCGCCTGCCCAACAGCGGCCGCGATCAGTTCTGGACAGCCTCTTTTGTTGAGCAGCATGCGCATTTCTTCCGTGCGTGCCCTTGTCCGCCGTACCCATCTTTGGCGTGCTGATTCCCCCTTTCCTGACTTGTTTTATGCTGTTCCAGGCTACTTTAGCCCTTACCACCTGAAAGAATTCTGAGCACCGAGCAGGTACCGAAACTGGATGGCTTTCACGTGTCGGGCCCTGGGGGGCGCTACTCGTTCGACACCGTTTCGATAATTTTCTGGGTGCTCGCAATGATAATCGGGCCCGGCCTGCTCGTGGGCGCCGTCGTGGTCCGTGGGAGTGCTTGATATCCTGCCCGGCATCCGTCTGCTCGCTCCCTCCCTGCCTCGTGGGCGGCGTGCTTCGTGAGGGACCTGTCCTCTCCTCCTCCTCCTCCTCCTCCTCCTCCTCCTCCTCCTCCTCCTCGTCTCCTCCTCCTCCTCCTCCTCCTCCTCCTCCCCCTCCGCCTGCGTGCCCGAAAGGGCGACTGAGGAGCTGACGACGCCGACGACCACGAGACAGCGGCCGGGCGCAGGGGTAGCTCCCTGTGTCCAGGCCAGGGGTGGTAACCCATCTTCGGCCTAATCGGGGGCAGGGGTAACCCTTTGTCTCCGGGCCGCTGGTGGTAACCCATCGTCGGCCGAATCAGGCACAGGGGTAGCCCCTTGCGTCCGGGCTGGGGATGGTAACCCATCCTCGGCCGAGTCGGGGGCAGGGGTAACCCCCTGGTATCCGGGCTGGCGGTGGTGACCCATCGTCGGCCGAATCGGGGGCAGGGGTAACCCCTTCCCTCCGGGCTGGCGGTGTTGACCCATCGTCGGCCGAATCGGGCGCAGGGGGAAACCTTTTACGTCCGGGGCTGGGGTGGTAACCCATCCTCGGCTGAATCGGGCGCAGGGGGAAACCCTTGCGTCCGGGGCTCGGGTGGTAACCCATCCGCGCCCGATACCAGTCCCTCCACAAAACATGCCTTACGTTCTCGTGGGTAAGGGGCCAATAACGCCAATTGCTTTGAGGTTTTTGTTCGACCATGGGGGCCCCGTCCTGTTTTCCGCCCCGAGGACCGCTTCTCTCCCTCTCTCTCTCTCGATTCTTTAGCAGGTTTGCATATCTGGATTCATGCTTTGAACGCCAAGGATATGATCATCATCCGCATCATCATCATCCTCCTGAGGAGCAGGAGGAAAGCAGAGGACGGATGACTGAGGACGGTGGAGGCAGGACAGGAGGACAGAGGACACAGTAGGGAGGCCAGTGGACGGGGTTGTGGCCGAGGCGTGGCCCGCGGGGCTGTCCCAGAGGGGCTTCGCGATCTAGCCGTCGTCGAAAGCGCGCGCGTTGGCCAAGGCGGCGACGGCGCCGAGGAACATCGACTTGCTGGCCCCGACCAGGGAGCAAGGAGGTGCACATAGACAAGCGGCAGGAGGATGAGGAGGGGGGCAGGGGTAGAGGGAGGGCGATGATGAGGAGGAGGTTGAGGAGGAAGAGGAGGAGGAGGAGGAGGAGGAGGAGGGGGAGGAGGAGGAGGAGGAGGGGGAGGAGGAGGAGGAGGAGGAGGAGGAGGAGGAGGAGGAGGAGGAGGAGGAGGGAGGAGGAGGAGGAGGAGGAGGAGGATATATGTATATATATATATATACATATATATATATATGTATGAAAAATGGGGGAGGAAGAGGAGAGAGCAGAGCTCAGGGCGAGAGGAAAATGTCCGCCAGGGCGACAAGGGAAGGGCCGAGGGCAAGCTAAACATATTCTCGTGCGGGGTTTCACCGTCGGAGTGTTTCACCGTCGGGGTATGTTTTGTATGTTTTTGGGTAATTCCAATTTTCTATCCAAGATCCGCCTGTAGGGTGACATGCCCTACCGAACGCTGGAGGTATGCATTTTTCTCGGGAGCGCTCCTTGGGCCTTTCCTGGGGTGAACTATGGCGACCATTTCCAGCCATATCCTGGCGAAGAAGGCACCCCTGGAAACTTCCCAAAACCAGAAGCATGGAAGTCCCCTTTCCTCCTCCTCCTCCGCGTTCTCCCCTTCCTCCTTTTCCTCTTCTTCCTCTTCCTCCTCATCCTCATCCTCCTTCTCCCATCCCAGACTTCCGACGTCGCATTATTTCCTGACTCTCCCGCGTTCTTGGGTTTTCGCTTCGGAAATATGCAGCGCCGCGCGTTTCATTCCTCCTCCTCATCCTGCTCATTATCCTCTACATCATCATCGTCATCATCATCATCATCATCATCATCGTCATCATGAGTAGCATCATCATCATATTGCACCGAATTCTCTCCCGAAGCTGGGTTTTCGGAGGCCTGTCTTGGGCCCCAGGGCCATCCATAGGCGGCCCCAGACGATCAATCTGTTCCGCGGGAAGAGCCAAGAGTCGGCTGCGCGCCGGAGGAGAGCGCGATAGGGGGGCAGGCCTTCTCCGAAGGCGGCTTGGAGTCTGCGAAAGCCTCCCGCCCTCTGGACGGCTCTCTGTGGCCTCGGGCAACGCTTTGATGGGGCGGAGGTTTTCTGAGCCTTCTGAGGAGGTCGGACGGGTGTAATTCGAGCAGTGGCGAAGTGTCCTGGCTCGCCTATAAGACCAACGATCGTTCCAAGAGCCTTGTGTGGTTTGCACGGCATGTTCTTAGAACATGTCTGGCTGAGACTGTCGTGTTTTACCACATCAGGTGTATGTTCTAAGCTAATTGTTGAGCGGCAGCGGCTAGGCTTAAGCCGGGCATGTACCTCTACAGGGCCAATATTCAGATAGAGTCAGAACATAAGTAATGAGGGGACGAATTGCCGATTTTTTTTGGCGCGTAGTTTTGAAGATGTTTGCCTATTGTGCATTTGTCTTCCAGAATCCGCCTGTAGGAGGACATGCCCGACCGAAGGCTAAAGGCACGCTTCAGGCCTTGGCAGGCGCGTCTTTGGTCCAAGGGTGGCCCAAGCCTCGGGGCCACTCTGGTGTTAAGTCGGGCGTGTCCCTCTCTCTACAGGGGGAACATTAAAAACAAACAAAAAAAATGCTCGGGAGACGACCTTTCGATTATCGAGGACGCCGGCGGCGCATCACCGGCCGCTCCCTGGGAGTTTGTCGGCGTCTTGGAGTGATCCCGCCACCTTGCCTGGGTTGTGGGTCCGAGTCCTCATAGACGCTTGTAGGAGTCTCTTCGGACAGCTCTCGGGAGCCTCTGCGGGGCATTTTAGGAGCCTCTGGGGAGCCTCCTGGAAGCTTCTTGGGAACTGCTTCGGGCCCTCTTGGGGGCCTTTGAGGTTTTTTTGGACGCCTTGAAGGCGCGTGAGGGCCTCTAGAGGCCATCTTCGGCGTCTGGGAGTGATCCCGCCACCTTGCCTGGGTTGTGGCTCAGAGTCCTCATGGACGCTTGCAGGAGTCTCTTCGGACAGCTCTCGGGGGCTTCTGCGGGGCAGTTTAGGGGCCTCTTGGGGGCGTCCCAGGGGCTTCTTGGAGACCTCTGGGGGCCCTCTTGGGGCCTCTTGGGGCTCTTTTGGGGTTTGTTGGGGGCCTCCAGGGGGCCGCTGAGGGCCTCCTGGGGGCCTCTTGAGCCGAAAGTTCGACATGTTCATTCGGGTACCCCTTCTGGGCCTCCTCTTGGGGCCATCCTGGGGCCCCTCTTGGGCCGTCCCGGGGGCCTCTTGGGCGGTCTTGGGGCCCTCTTGGGCCGTCTTGGGGCCGTCTTGGGGGCCTGTTGGGCCGTCCTGGGGCGATTTTGGGGGCCTCTTGGGCCGTCGCGCAGCGTGGGTAAGCCGAAATGGCGTGAACGTGAAAATCCTTCAAAAACCATTGAAAAATCAATGATTTTTGCTTCTCGGGGCTGTCTTGGGGATGCTCTTGGAGGCCTCTTGGGCCGTCTTGGAGGCGTCTTGGGCCGTCTGGAGGCCATCTTAGGCGTCTTGGAGCGATCTGGAACCGTCTGGAGGCTCTCTTGGACAGCTCGGTACTCTCTTGGACCGGCTTGGGGCTCCCTTGGGTCGTCCCCGGGCCGTTTGAGACCTTGAAGGGGGCCGGCGGCAGAGTGGGGCCGGCGGCAGAGTGGGGCCCCCTCGGAGGGACTTTCAGGAGGTTTTTGACCAGGCACTGGAGAAGGGGGCCAAAGACTGTGCCAGACACTGCGTCAGAGAGGTCTCGCACGGCCCAACCCGCCGGGCGGGAGCGGCCGGATCTAAAGGCTATTGCCTCTGTCGCCGACCCCAATTGAGCAACGAATGCTTGATTCG